TTTGTGATTGTCTCCCCTCTCACACACACACCAAATCATGTTCCCAAAATGTTCATAACTGTCTCCTGACCGCATCTCCCTCCATTCTCAGGGTATCCGTAACACAGCTTCTGCCAGGGTTTTGGTTTAGAATGTTTTGTGTGCAACGCTTTTAGGAAAAAATTTCATCCCAACTCTGGCTTCTTTATCTACTTTTTTGCCCTTTGGAAGTACAGAGGATTGGCTCATTTGCTGTTCCATTTGCTGCTAGGACCTACGCCCCAAACCTGTTTACCTCCCTCATAAAATACTCTGAAGGGAATGGATGCCATTTTATAGACCCCCTCCACCTCTGACAGCAATTCAAGCATATGGCCCCTTGAGGTTTCATAAGGAGCAGCCACAGGCCAGGCCCTACGGGGCTCTGTATTTATTTCATTTAAGCCTCAGCACTGCTCTGAGTGTATGGCGGTATTTATTATCCCCATTCTATGTTCGAGGAACCTGAGGCTTAGGAAGGTTAATTTGCCCAGCATCATACTACCAGAAAGTATTCAGGATTCAAATCCAAGATTTCCTGGCTCCAAAAACCTTGGATTCTTTTCACAATCTTCCCTCCTCACCCCACAAGGAAGTTTCCAAACCCTCCGCTGTTTTCCTCAGAGGGCCCCTAACCCTTGTTTGCTCTGCATAACATGTTTTTTAAATAGTGCTTATCTTTCCAGTGCCTGAGGTGTGCAGCTTCCCTGGAGCATCTGTGACCCCAGCATGACTGTGCTTCTCTCCAAGTGGCCCATCTCCCTGCTCTTCCTTTAGCCGGTGTGAGCCCCAGTGGCTCTTGCTGGGGTTTCTGTGCACCAGCTCCTGACACACTAGCCTCATTCTTGCTTCTCCAGCCTCTCTGACTTGATCTTCTGAGATGCCTTCAGTAGCTTCTCCCCTTAAATGGTGGCATCCTAGGGCTGTCTTCTCTCTTTCCCTTTCTCCCTGGCTGTTAGGTTCATGTCAGGACTTAAGCACGACTCCCAAGTTGCCTGACTTGGCCCTGCTGCCCAGCCCCTTCTGTTTGATTGCCTGCCAGTATCTTCTACCAGATGTCCTGAGGGCACTTCCACCTCAGCAGCCCAACAACTGAGCTCACTTCCTCTCCAGCCACCCGCTTTGTGGACCTTCTGTCATTTAATGGCTTGGTTCATAATATCACCGTCTATTATCATCCATCTTACAAGCTGAAAACCTTACAGACATATTTTACTCCATTTTTTTTCATATCTCAGACGCAATTAATTTTCAAATCTTGTTAATGGATCCTGTCTCAGAAATATCTCCCAAGTCTAGTCCCTCCATTTCCTTTACTCCTGCCTTAGTGCAGGCCCTCCATCCTTGCCTGGGTTGTGTAAAGGGCCTTTAACTAGCATTATCTTCTTAAAAACCAAAACCGATTACTGTATTTTGCTGTGTACAATGTGCTCCCATGTATAATGCTCACCCATGTTGTTGGCCCAAACTTTTAGAGAAAATATCTTTCGTTTTAAATTTTTTTTAATTAAATTATTTTTTATTATGAAATACACATTTTTTAGAATTAGTTTCAGCTGTACAACACAGTGCAATAGTTATACTTTTTACCCCTCGGAGTGACAACCCCCCTCCCCCAATCTGCTGCCCCATTTCCCCCCAATTCGTTTTAATTTTTTAATTCAAGTTTTTATTTGTTTACATTTAGGTACTTTTTTTTTGTATTATAAAGGAATTTTAGCATTTATTTTTTAACATATTATGGTACAAGAAATTTTATGTAACAAATAATTACAAAACAACAGATACAAGGTAGAAAAAATTTTATGTACCGGTAACAGATTTACAATATTTATGCATCATAGAAGGCCAAGAACTCTTTGTCGTTGCAAATTTGTTGTAAGTGCAACAAAACTGATTATTGTAATCCAGCGTATTGTTTTGCATGCAGATATAGTTGTTGATTTCTAGAGTTACACTTTTAACTCATAAGCATGAATAAGATAATTAAAAACATTTATATAGATATGGAATTAGTACTACCCACATATAATGTGCATCCCTATTTTTCCCCTCACAAATTTGAGCAAAAAGTGTGCATTATACACAGCAAAATATGGTATGTCACCTCGTCTGCAAGAAAATCTTGTCCGATTTGCCCTTACCTGTAGGGTAAAGCCCATGTTCCCTGTCCTGGCAGAGCAGACTCATCACAATTGGGTGACTGTCTCGGCACCTCCTGCCACATCTCTGCCTGCTTGCCTGACAGCCCCTGGCACCTCACTGGTGCTTCAGCCTTGGGGTGAACGCCACATCTCCAAACATGGCTCCCATCTTCCCACTTGTTAATCTTTCTCTATGAAGTCCTTCTACTTAGCAACTGCTCATTCTTCAGACCCAGCTCAGATGTCACTTCTGAGATGCTGCTCTGGGTCCTCCTCTGTGCTCCCACACACATCTGGGCATCCACACCTCCTGGTATCTGATTATACGTTTGTCATCCTGATTCAGATGGGGGTTCTTGGGGGCAGCGATGTACTTAGCGCCCGGCACAGTGCCTCTTAGGTAGTGAGTGATGAAGGAGTGCCACTCTGTTCTCTCCAGAGCCCCTGTGATCCTTGACCTTCTCCACCCAGAATCGTTTTCTTCTGCTCAGGTCTGAGCTCTTGGCAGTGTTACTCGGAGTGGCTATAGTGCTCTCCCATTCAGCCCGCAGAGCTGCTCCTCCTCTTCTTTTCCAGCAAGCTGCATTTTGATCAGTTCCCCAAGTGATGCTAGTATACCCTGCACTTCTGACTTGTTCCAGAGCAGGGTACACCCACTAATGTTCAGAAAGAAGGCTGGCTCCTTCAGGCATTTACAGAAGCGGGAGAACTTAAGTAAGATTGGGACGTGGCTGCAAAGCAAATCTCCTTCCTGGAGAGTCACAGTATAATTAGTATATTACGGGGTAGAGAAGTCCCTGAAACAACAACCAACCAACTAACCAACCAACAAGCATGATTTCCACAAGGGCAGCCTCTATTTTTCTTTCATACATATTAACATTCTGGCACTTTTCCCTTAACACTGGTGGCCCTTCCTGCCCTGGAACACTTTATTTCTATGATGATTTTAAGTGAGGCGATGTCTGCCATGTGCTTAGCAGCGCCCAGCACTTAATGGGCACTCAGCCCCTGAGAGTTCCTGCCCCTGCTTTATTCCCTGCTCTGCCTGTGACCCCTTTTGCTTCCCTAGGGAGTCTCTTATAGCTCATCTCCTCCCTGTCGCCCTGCAGGGGGGGTCCTCTATGCTGCCACTGTGAAAAACTACCTGGGGACAGAGCCGATTATCTCCCGGGCAGTGGGTCGTGCTGAGGATTGGATTCGGACAGAGACCTTGCCATCCTGGCTTAACGGTGGGGAGAGGAGGGGAGGGGTGCTTTGGGGACAGAGAGGGCGGGTGGAAGCCGGGTGGCCCCAGGCTGTGCCTGTGGGATCTGAGGCCACAGGTCTCCCCAGCTCCAGCTTTTGTCGCAGCCGTGGCCTTGAGGCCAGCCGAGTGGGGGGATGAAGATGGAGATGATGAAATCTACTTCTTCTTTACGGAGACTTCCCGAGCATTTGACTCCTACGAGCGCATTAAGGTTCCGCGGGTGGCCCGTGTGTGCGCGGTGAGACCTCGATCCCAGCTGTCTGTCTGTCATCTCCTGCTTGCCTGGCCTCTGTCTTTTCCTCGCTGTGTCTCTATCTTTGCATCTCTGCTCTGTCTCCTTTTTTCCTACGTCTTGACTTCTTTTCTGGGAGCTTGTGGGGAAAGGGCTTTAGCCACTTTAACCCCATAATTACCCTTGTGACACACTATCCATAGGAGGTGGACTAGTGTAGAGGTTAAAGGCAGGAACTGTTGGCAGACGGGCCTGGGCTCCAGTCCCTGTTCCATTGCTTACTGCTTCTGTGACTCTGGGCAGTTTCTTTAGCATCCTTACAGATGAGGATATTAATGATGCCTAGCTATAGGAGTTGTTGTGAGGACTAAATGAGGAAAGTTATGTAAAGCACGTAATACAGTACTTCATAAGTGTACAATGAACTTAGTCACTGTCATTGTCATTGTAACCTCATCCACCTGTGTAGCTCATTATTCCCCGCTGTTAACTCTGTCTATATCTCTGTCCTTGCATTTCTATGCATCTGTCTCCCCATCTGTCCTTGTCTGGGGGAAATGTGTATTGGTCTCTACTCTCTCCCTACAATGTTGATCTTCTAAAGAGAACTTTCCATGCGCTTGTCACTCCAGGGGGACCTTGGGGGCCGGAAGACTCTCCAGCAGAGGTGGACGACATTTCTGAAGGCTGACTTGCTGTGTCCAGGACCTGAGCATGGCCGGGCCTCCAGTGTCCTGCAGGACATGGTCATTCTTCGATCTGAGCATGGAGCTGGGACCCCCATCTTTTATGGCATCTTTTCCTCGCAGTGGTGAGGGGGTCCTGGTATGGAGGAGCATTACAGGGTGGGAGGTACATGGGTTGGCATGGTGCCAGTGCTGTCTCCTCCAGAGGGGGTGGTTTCTCCCTGGAGCAGGTTGCACAGCTCCTGTGCATTTATTTCTCATGGGTCATTTCATTTGATGGGGGATGAGTTGCTGTTCCCTAGTTCCCTTCAAATATCTGGCTCCAACCTGTGACTCTTCTAGGGAGGGGGCTGCCATCTCTGCTGTCTGTGCCTTCCGACCACAAGACATTCGGACAGTGCTGAACGGTCCCTTCAGAGAGCTGAAACATGACTGCAACAGGGGACTGCCTGTCATGGACAATGATGTACCCCAGCCCAGACCTGGAGAGGTGAGGGGGCTGGGGCAGCCCTTCACCCCACTCCAGAATTGCCCCATTAGAGCAAGAACCCAACTGAGCATCATAGACACTTCCTGGCCCCTGGGAAACTTTGTCACCCAGCCTGTGTTTCCTCTAGTGCATCACCAATAACATGAAACTCCAGCAATTTGGCTCATCGCTTTCCCTGCCTGACCGTGTGCTCACCTTCATCCGGGACCACCCACTCATGGACAGGCCAGTATTTCCAGCTGATGGCCACCCCCTGCTGGTAACTACAGAGACAGCCTATTGCAGACTTGTGGCGCACAGGGTGACCAGCCTCTCAGGGAAAGAGTATGATGTGCTCTACCTGGGGACAGGTATGTTTAATAGTCAAGCACGTTGCCCATCCAGTGCCCGCATGCTCTCATCTCAGAGAGGGTCCCATACACACACGCATCAGAGTGCCAGCACAGGTATAGTTATGGTATTATGCCTTGCCTCTTGCCTGTTTCCTAGAGGATGGACACCTCCACCGAGCTGTGCGGATTGGAGCCAAGCTCAGTGTCCTCGAGGATCTGGCCTTATTCCCAGAGCCACAGCCAGTTGAGAGTATGAAATTGTATCAAGTGAGTTGTAGAGTTTGGGGAGTCCGGTGGGGAGACATCTGAGTCCAGTGTCAGTTTGTGACCCTGAAGTCTGAGAGATGCAGTGTATGTGTCCCTTTTTCTCACTCACTTTCTGTAGAGCTGGCTCCTGGTTGGCTCCCGTACTGAGGTGACACAAGTGAACACAACCAATTGTGGCCGTCTTCAGAGCTGCTCAGAGTGCATCCTGGCCCAAGACCCTGTCTGTGCCTGGAACTTCCAGCTAGATGCATGTGTGGCCCATGCTGGGGAGCATGGAGGGTAAGTGTGGCTGTCCAGGCCCCTTGCCTGCTGTCCCAGGGCTCTGACCCATCCAGATGTCTATGCCTGTTTCTCGTTTGTTAATGCTGCGTGTGTGTGTGTGTGTGTGTGTGTGTGTGTGTCTTAGTGTTACTTGTATGTCCATCTGTCAGTCCCTACTAACTCATCTGTCTGTCCATCTGGTGCTGCTTCATCTATGTCCTTGCTCCTTTGCTGGACCTGCCTGGACCATGGGACTGACCTCCATGTGACAATACACTTTCTGTTTCCATTTTACAAGCTCTCAGGAGTGCTCAGTCCTTCCGTCCTTGAAATACTCTTCCCTCTTGCCTTCTCTGACTGCGTTCTCCTGGTTTTCCTACCTACTTCTCCAGCCTGCCTCCCTTACTCATTCCTATCCCATCCAGCTTCTGAATGTCGATATTCCTCAGGGTTCAGTCCTTCTCTTTACACTTCCAAACACTGTCTGGGTGATTTCATTCCCATAATTTTCAACACTGAGTGCTGTTAACAACTACAGATAGATCTTCAGCTGAGCTGCAGAATTCCCTTTCGAACTGCCTACTTAATATTTCCCTTGAACGCTTCACAAGCAACTCAAACATAGCCAGTCTGAGCATGCACTATGGTTTCCTCTTTCTTTCACATGCTTCTCTGGTTTTCCTCATTTCAAAAAAGGGACCTCCATTCATCCAATTTGTACTGACTCTAGTTCCATCTATCATATCCTCAGTCCACCGCCCCTTCTCTTCTCTACTGCTACCACCCTAGTCCAAGCCACCATCACTTCTTAACTGGATTACTCTAATAACCTCCAAATTGATCTCCTTTTATCCATTTGGGGATCCTACTATCCATTTTCCACTTAGCAGCCAGCTTAAAATCATATGTCACATTGAAGCATGTCCCTGACGTCATATTCGTTTAAAATATTTCAATATGTACCAGGTAAGGACCCTTTTAAAATCATTCTATTATAGGAAATTTCAAACATTCAACAATAGAATAATATAATAAATTTCCATGTATCCCTCAGCTTCAACAACCATCATCTCCTGGCAATCACTGCTTCAAAAGCAAATGCTTTATTCTTTCCTTTATTTTTTAAATACCCATTAAAATAAGAATTTCACCGGTCTTGGGTATCCTGTGTACTTGAGTCTCAGGGTCTCCTAAAGATATTATGTGTGTAGAGGATGTGGGCTGTGTGTATATGCCAGTGTACTTCTTGGCAATACAAGAAATTACCAAGTTGGTACTTTTATGCATTCTACCTCCTTACCTCAATTCATACAAGGAAGAAAAACATAGACCATGAAGTTCCTGAGGCTGTAGCTGCATATATGGCCTTCCCATGTTTCCCACTCTCAGCTAGACTAAGCACACTTGGTTTTACCCAGGAGACTTTAATGTATTCATACCAGTCTTGAAGCTCATTTCAGGGTCCTCAATTCATGTTGAAGGAGTTCACACTCAAACCGAGTCTACCTTTGGTTGAGGATTTTGTGAGTTCAGACTAAACTTCCATCTGGTCTTCACTGACAGCCCCGCAGGGGTCTCACTGGCCTCCCTCCCTCTGGGAGTGGTGCCAGGGAGTTCAGAGTGAGCAGTCTGTCTTGCTGTCCCTCTGTCGTCAGACACAGTCCACTGAAATCCTGGAAGCACCAGGATTGTATTGTTTGAGACAGACCTATTAGAGGCCAATAAATATCAACAGTTGTTGAAGAGAAAGAGTTCCTACACAGAGATGAGCAGCTGTATGAAACACAGTCATCTCACTGATTAACTTTTATAGAGAAGATGTTTTCTCTTTCTCTTAACAGAAACCAAACCAAACCAACCAACCAACCAAACAAACCACGAAAACCCTGTAGTTTAAATTTTTTTTCCCCAGAGAAATCTTGTGGTTGTGGACAGCCAGTTACATTCTTGGAAGGTTCCCATGTTTCTTTTAAAGCTTCCCACACCGAACATCTTTCCAACTACCTAGTGCAAATTTAATTCTCTATGATATGCTAGAATATGTGTAGAATTTGACATGGCTAATGTCATGAGAACTATAAGAGGTATTGGGGAGAAATTTAGTGATGAAGAGCATGTTGACTGATAAGTCCAGGAGTGATTTATGAGATGATGGGAGATGTAATGAGTGAGTGGATGTTCAGTGGTATTGAGAGTAGAAGGGAATGTTGACACTGGATTTACCAACTATTCTTTTCTTTGTAGGCTGGTCCAAGACATAGAGTCAGCAGATGTCTCTTCTTTGTGCCCTAAAGAGCCCGGAGGTCTGTCTGGGTTAGGGAAATGTGAATGGAGTGGGTGGAAAGGGGCTAGAAAGTTGTCCATTTTAGACCCACTTTAAAACTTGGATCCTGGAATATATGGCAGCCAGTGACCCACAGCCTTAACCTCTTTGGGAGTCCCCTTTTAGCTTTGCTCCCATGGCCCCTTCTCATATGTGATGTACCCCACATTTGTCTACATTACATCCCCAGGCTGTAGTCTCATTACCTTTTGTACCTTTGATGTCTCTCTGCAGAACACCCAGTAGTGTTTGAAGTTCCTGTAGCGACAGCTGCGCATGTGGTCTTGCCATGTTCCCCAAGCTCAGCCTGGGCATCCTGTGTATGGCACCAGCCCAGTGGAGTGACTGCACTTACCCCCCGGCGCGATGGCCTAGAGGTGGTGGTAACCCCAGGGGCCATGGGTGCTTATGCCTGTGAATGTCAGGAGGGTGGGGCAGCCCGCGTGGTAGCTGCTTACAGCCTCGTATGGAGCAGCCAGCGGGGAACTGCCAGCCGGGCCCACACAGTGGGGGCTGGACTGGCGGGCTTCATCCTGGGGGTTCTTGCAGCATCCCTGACTCTCCTGCTGATTGGTCGGCGTCAACAGCGACGGCGTCAGAGGGAACTTCTGGCTAGAGAAAAGGTGGGCTTGGACCTGGGGGCCCCACCATCCGGGACTACAAGCTATAGCCAGGATCCACCCTCTCCCTCTCCTGAAGATGAGCGGCTGCCCCTGGCCCTAGCCAAGAGGGGCAGTGGCTTTGGTGGCTTTCCTCCACCCTTCCTGCTTGATCCTTGCCTGAGCCCAGCCCACATTCGGCTAACTGGGGCTCCTCTGGCCACGTGTGATGAAACATCCATCTAGGGCTGGGCAAATGACCACTAGTGCATGAGTGACCGCTGGAATAGAATGACCATTGAGACACTGGGGCCTGGAAGATCATCATGGCCTCTGGGTTCTCTTTGGCCTCTGAGTGATCACTTGACTTCAGTGTCTGTCCTCTCTGAGCCTGGATGGGTTCTGGGCCAGGCCATTGTCTGAGTCCTGATTCCTGATTCCCGTGAGAGATCAGAACTTCTTTCTTCAGTGAATCAGGACTTTTCCCACCCCTGCCTTCTGAACCCCTGTGACCCCTTCAGTCCTGGCCCACTATCTTGGGCCCATTAGTTTGGAAATGGGGCACAGGACATAGCTATGACGTTGCTTTCTGGTTGGACCCTGGCCAGAGGGGAAGCTGTGGAGGTGGTTGGTGGTTGGGGGCTAATGTGCACTGAGTCCTTGGGTGGTTTTGCTGATTCTCCCAGTTTGTCTGATTCTCTGTGGGGACTGCATGATCCCCATGTTGCAACATGGAATCTCTGCCCTGAGATCTCCCTCCATCCCGGTTTTCCTTCTTCCATGAAAGAGCATGTGTACATATGAGTGTTCAGGAGACCTGGCCAAATGTGCATGAATGACTGGGTCGATACTCAGGTATATTCATGGGGGGAGGTTGGGATGGGGGCATTGCCTGTAGAATTTTAGACCCTGTAGCCAGTGAAAGAATGGCTCTTCTTTCTAAAAGGAAACAAACCACTGCTCCTCCCCATCACCTCCCACAACCCTTCTCTCGAGTACAGAAAAACTCCCAAAGTGACCTTCTAGATGGGAAGGGCAGTGGTACCCAGTCTTTCTTTGTTTTTGCCTCTTGGCTGCCACCACTGCCATGAACAGCTGCTCTTTCTCTGGCTAGAGTGTAGGCTGGGCCCCCTTTCCTTTGGTTCTCACTGAAAATAAACTTCACAACATTCTAAATATTAGGGGACAACAAAAAGGGAACAGTTATGGGAAATACACGCAGCATAAAAATAGGTTTGTATCAGTGACTTTACTCAGGTTGACACCCTTGCCCTAAAGCAGGAGTTCTCTACTGGGGGGTCCACGGACTCCCTGAAATTGTATGCAAAACGTTGTCTGTACATGTGTGCCTGTGTTTTTCTGGGGGGAGGTTTTATGGCTTTCATCAGATTCTCAAGGCCTTAACAGAGTTAAAGGACCACTGCCCCAAGGACACCACATCAGCAGCAGCTCTCCCTGCCCCACCCCCGCTGCCCTGTGGCCAGCCCTTGGACTTGCCTCTGCTGGATGCTGTCTCGTTTCTCCAGTCCCTGGAAGCTGTGCTCTGTGTATATTTGAAGACACTGTCAACTCTCACCAAACTTAGACACTTCTTCCTGCTTCACAACTCCCGGATGCTTTAGGCTTCTCCTGCTCAGTTCTGGTCTTGGCCTGTGAATGTGCCTCGTTTGTCCCTGGTGAGGGGCCCCCTTGAGCTCCAGTGAATGATCCAGCCCTTCCCAGTTGAAGTTTTCAGCTCCACTTTTCTTGGCAGCAGCCTGTGAACTACTCAAAAGAGTCCCCTTGGGTTTGGAATTATCAGTGGCTTTGCCCTAATAAGCATATGATCTTTGGCCAGTAATCTAATCTGGGAACATCCGTTTACTCATCTGTAAAGTGGGGCTAGTACTACCTACCTCAGGGTTGCTGCGAGGATTAAATGAGAGAACGTGTAAACAATAAAGCACTATCTATTCCAGTACAGGTTGTTATTGTAAAAATTGGACAATTATGCCAGAATCATATAGCTTAATCATATGATAACCATGACACATGCAATCACTTTAAGTCCTATTTGGTGGAAGGAGGGTCATTGCCTCATATAGGCATCCTGTCCTGGGTCATCTATGGCCAGATCTCAGCTGCCACCGTCTAGGGCCTGTGGGAGGCAGGGCCTGTGGTTTTATAATTCTCAGGTGTGTCTGACCTTAGTGACCTTATTAGTCCTATAGGGGCATGGAGGAAGTCTTGTGTTCTTAGGTTTATGGTCACTTTATTCTCTCAAGGTTAGGGGCTAGTTTCAATTGGGGAGAGGAAAGGAGATAGATATCAGAAGGGCCTGGGGTCTCTGTGAGGAGGAAAGGAGGAAAGCTTTTCAAGGAGGGGAGGAATCAGATCATAAAGGATTGGGGCATTTGGTTCTTGGACAGTGGCTGTGGTTGGAAGACAATGAGATAAGGAATGTAGGCACATGAGGCAGGATGGAAATAGGCACGAAGAGAGGAGAACCACCTCTTAATTGGAAAGTTCAAGCCCCAAAAGTGAGTGAGAGCACAGGAATGTGAAGCCAGCTCCTGGAGAAATAGTGTGAGTAACTAATTGCATTATCTTTGGACTGTGGGAAGGGAGAGGATCTGTGGATCTGGGAGCCGAAGGAGGATACAGGGCTCCTGCAGGGAGAATTGTGGGGATGCTCAGACCTCCCTGGCTACACACATTCAAGTAGCCGGGGGAAGGGATTGAATGGGGCTTGTGCTTATGTTACCTCCAGTCTCCAAAGATTGCCCACTTTCTGGCCCTCACTCTTAAATTCCCCTCTGTTTTTGGCTCTGGTCCCTGGTCCCAAACCTGTGTCTCTCAGCTTGTCACTCCTAACCAGTAGTCTGCTGCTACCCAATGTGACTTTACTGAAAATAGAGCCAGAAAGAGGTGCTCATTGTTGGCTCCTATGAGCCAAGCACGCTGTAGCACAGCACTGGCCTTAACCCAACAGAAGGCTGATGTGTATCCTTTTCCTGGAAGCTCCCCGTCCCTCCCTTTCCCCAGCAGCCCCACAAGTTGATGGGTGGCCTCACCGATGGCAGGAAAGGGCTCCTTTCGGTCTCTGCTAGGCCCTGACTCTCTTGGATACTCTGCCCCTGTCAGAGTGGGGCAGTCATGGCTACAACAGACTGTTCTTGGTCAACTGCACACAATCTTAAGGGTGTGGGGATAGGTCTTGCCTTTTTGGTTGTAACAGAGGCAAGGTCGGAATTTTCAAAAATCGTTTTCACCGGCCAGAGGGAAAACTAGCAATAAATCACCAGAAATCTTTCTGCAGTTTTTAAGTCCTCCTTAGGCCCTGGGACAGGCCTCTCTGTGACATGGCAATTTGTGTGGCCAGTAGACAGCAGGTGTGGTTCCAGAGAGGTCCATCTGGACTGATGTACAACCCCAGGTCTTGGTTGAGGTGGGGAAGGGCAAGCAACAGAGAGAAGGATCTAGCTTCCTGAGGATGTTAGATGGGGTCAGAGGTGGTTAGGACTGCCAAGATAAGGGTCAGGTTCAGAGGGCAGGTCCAGGCCATGTGGATAAATAAATGCTAGCCAGGAAATCTCTTGCTCTCTTTTTCTCAAGGGTTTCCAGCCTATGGGACTGGGGCTTCCCCTAGATACACTGGCCCTGGGTTTTAGGGCTACGGTTGAATCCTGGACATGCCCACTAGTGGATATGGCACTGCTCATTTACGTCAGACTTGGCACCCCTCTCGTGGACTCCGAGACTTGCAGTGCTAAACTGTAAGCTAAAGGCTGTCACCACCTGCAGCTGGACACATGGTTGGGGCAGGAGGAGTCGTCTGATCAACTGATGCTGGGTCCAAAGACCAACATCTCACCCTCAGGTTCAAGCAAGTCCTTTAAATTGAGGAGACACAATAAAATCCTTTCAGGACTGAGGTTCACTCCAGGGACTGTCTGAGGGTTAAGCGTTGAAGAGCCTGATTAGACCTCTGTTGTCAGAGGCTCAGGCAGAGAACTCTTGGGAAAAGCGCAGTCCTCAGGCCTTTGTAGGCATACTACATACCTGTCAGGTAAGAGGTCCTACCTAATCAGCCTTGGATGGAGTCACTGGAATTCTCCCCTGCAAGCCCAAGAATGCAAAGACTTGGCACACATCCTCAGCACTCTCCTTCCGAGACGGGCTTAATCATATGTGATAGGTAAGCTGCTATTCCTCTATAAGAAGTGAGGAGGCAGAAGTGGTCCTTCCTCCAGGTAAGGGTGGGGATGGCTGTTTTAGTCTTTGAGCGATGCCGACCTGTTCCTGCTTCCATGCTACTTCTTCAGGAGTGACACAAGCTCTGGTGGAATGGCAGGTATGGATGCTGGGGACAGTCATGGCCTGGAGGATTAGGGGGAAGTGTCCTCAATGCTTTGGTGAAGGAAGGAGCTGCCTACACTTTGTGGGTGTGGGCTCAGATGGTGAGCTTCTGGGCAGCAGTCATAAGAACCAGAGATTCTTCTGCCCTTTGCTGGGAGCCACATGAGTCTCCTGAATTCATGTTTAATTCTAGGGAGAAAGATGACCACCCCCAAGATGCCTGAGATAGAATATTTCCCCCCTGCAGTGACTGGGAGCTCAGAAACAGCTTAGATTGATTCATAGAAATAAAGCAATATATATTTTTTATCCCTGTGTGTTTGTGAAGAAACATTCATGCCCACTATAATTAATATCAGCATTTCTAAAATTAGCTGAGTCTTGAAAGCCTGATTAAATTGATTCATAGAAATAAGGTAATTATTTTTGTCCCTGTGAGTTTGTGAAGAAACATTCATGTCCACTATTGTTGCCTTATAGCTACCTCCACAACCGCCCCCGCTGCATTAGCCCCTGACCCAGTCGGTCATGAGAGAGTGTCCCGGCAGTCCTGAGACCCGGTGGAATGATATCGGTCACCTCCCCTATATGGAAGGACACAGTAACAAAGTGTCCTGGGGGCTGTGTAGTGACGTATGAAGGCATAGCATTTGTCGGAATACAATGGGAGTTGGTTAATGGAAAACAGCCTTAAGGCACATAGCACACGGATCTTTGAAAAATGACAGTTTCACTTCCTTGTAGGATCTCAATAAAAGCCATGTGTTGACCCGATTCGGGGCTCAGTCTTCCAGGCTGGGTCCCTTGGTCTCGCTCTTATCTTACTTTTGTCTCTTGTTCTTATTCAATCTGCGTCGCCCCTCTCGTGTCCCATGTGCCCTTGCCACACAGGACGTGACACACTATAACTAATATCAACATTTCTAATATTAGCTCAGTCTGGAGTACCTGCATTATGAGTTGTGGCCTATAAATTGTGAGAGTAGAACTGCCTGTAGATGGGGTAGGGTTGAATGAGCAGTTGGTGCCTAAAACAGTGAAGGAGGGCTTTCCTCCAATCCCCTTCAGGAGCCATTCCTCCTAATGTAGTTTCTCCCCACATATATCCACCAAATTAATCTTTTATTAGTGTCAAAGCCTATCATCTCTTAGATTTACTGGATTTATGCAATTTGTCTGTGGTTTCATCGTAATACTGTAGCTCATCATAGATTGTGATCACCTTGAAACTCCCAGGTAAATATCCTCAGAAAGAAGTAAACATATAACTTTTGGGGTCCTAGTTCACAAACCAAGGTGTCCACATACTATGTCTACAAAGGATTATGATGCTATTAAAGCTGCCACTAGAAGTTTTGCTAACTAAGTTCTTACTTTTTGGGGTATTTATTGCTGTACTAGTCAGGACAGGCTTTGATATAACGCAATAACAAACAACCCCATACTCTTTTTTTTTTTAAGATTTTTATTGGGGAATTGGGGGGATGGGAACAGTGCTGGGGAATTGGGGGAAGGGGAACAGACAAGTTGCTGTCTTTTTGTTCTTCAGTCTAGTTGTGGAGGACGTTGCTTCACTGGCCCAAGTTGGCACCATCATTGCACTCTTCCCGGGCGAGGCAGATCAGTCGCCGTCTTCTGGACAGCTGCTCACTGCAGCTGCTGGCCGCTCACGCTGGCTGCTGGCTACACACGGTAGCCCATGGCAACCCGCTGCCACAGGGGCTGCAGCCTAAGCCATCACCGGTGACTCATGGCAGCCCAGCTCCAGGTTCAGTATCTTAGCTGTAGAGGGCAGTGTCACTGGCCTTCATATGTGGGATCTGAACCGGGGCCCTCTGGCATCCCAAGGCAGTTCTTAACCATTGTGCCACTCGGCCGGCCCCAACCCCATACTCTTAGTGGCTTAAAACAACATGTTTCTTACACACATTACTTGAAAAAGAAGGAAATGCTGACACATGCTACAACACGGATGGACCTTGAGGACATTATGATAAATGAAATAAACCAGTCACAAAAAGACAAATACTGTATGATTCCACTTATATGAGATACTTAGAGTAGTTAAATTCATAGAGACAGAAACTAGAATGGTGATGGCCAGGGGCTGGGGGTGAGGGGAACGGGAGGTTATTGTTTAATAGGTATAGAGTTTTAGTCTTACAAGGTGGAAAGAGAGCTGGTTGGTGGTGATGGTTGCACAATATTATGAATGTATTTAATACCACTGAACTGTGTGCTTAAAAATGGTAAAGATGGTAAGTTTTATGTAATGTATTTTATCACAGTAAAAAAAATTGAGAAAAGTGAATAAGACACAGTCCCTGTCCCCTTGAAGCTCCTAATTCAGTGGGGAGGCAGACAAGTGAGCAGATAATAACACACTTTGAAGAGCACTATATTGTCAAGTTATGTCCTAAATCCTGAAGAACTCAAAGACACTGTTTCTGCTGACATCTCTTCTGAACTGGCAGCTTGAGAAACAGACTTGAGACACAAACAAAAGGCTTTGTACCCCCTAACTGGACTCCCCTGAAGCTACCAAGACAGTCTAATAAAGTCTAGTGACATGTAGTCAGCCTAATGAGACACATGTATGCCTCATTTGTTCTTTTTTCTGTA